TGTGTGCTGGAGAAGAGCCATCGGCTCTCGAGAGTTGGATTTCTGGGATCTGTGTGTCGTGTTGACAAGCTTTGCATGTCCAGCGTGGTTCATTTGGCGCTTGGATGCATTCCACCGCTGCAGCTCAAATATTCAGGTACCCCCAGCAGGATCATGACCGTTGTGTGTTTTATGATTGACTGTTTCTGCCTTGGCTTTAGCTTACCACCTCAAGCCTGAGACCTGAATGTAGCGCAAAGATAGAACCCCAGAACCGACAGAAATCCTAGTTGTGGCAATAGAAAATGTGGACCAGCCGTGTTCTTCTGCATGTGACCTCCTGGCGCTGTGATGATACACTGTCACCACCCCAGCTTTTAGACGGACGTGCAACAACTGCCTGCAGTGTTGCGCGGGAAGAACCTATCTATGCAGACTATACATGATTCACCCTTGATGCTGCTGCTGTGTGTGTGTGTGTGCGGAGTGACAGAATACCCTGTCACCACAGTTTCTTGCACAGGGGGACCATCCATTTGCTGCGCGATGGTCCAACGAAGCGGCCACAGCAAATGCGGATATCGAGGCTGATCACCTTGACGTACCTGTGCATCTCGTGTGATTCAAAGTCGTTTTGGCCCGTTGTTTCTCTCGTTGTGTGTGCTTCATGTTGAATTTGTAACGTTTTCGCTGCTAGACGGAAACCAAGTGACTGCAAGCCGAACCTACACCTACTCGAGACTCATCAGTTGTACTCGTGACTCACCAGTTGTACTCGAGACTCATCAGTTGTACTCGAAAGATTAGAACCCTCCATCTGGAGTCTAAGTGTGAACACCCCATTCGTGGGGGACCCTCAACTGTACCCATCGTGTGACCCCGGGCCGGTACGCCGGAAAATTTGACCTCAACGTGCTTATCATAGAACAGCGGAATTTCATGTTTAAACAGGAACGAGGTTTCACTAAAGGGAAGACAGCCACCTCTTCATAGTTAAGTTTCACCATCCTGGACGTCGCTGCTGGCTGTTTGTCGGCCGATTCACATGCATGTGTATGGTCTTGAGTTGTCGTTGATTGTGGTTTGTATGTATCCTGCCTCAAGGACGAGCTTTACCATTTCCGGACTTGTTGCTGTTTCGTCATGTCACGCCGGGATGATCGAGACAGATCCAGGACTCGGCGCAGACGGGATCGGAGTCCCTCCTCCCAACCTCGCAAAGCACGCAGACGTGAACACAATGACAACCAGGTCTCGGATGGCGTGGATTTCAACAACTTGGTCTCCTGGCAACAGAAATCGGGCTACAACACTTCCAGTGCTTTTCCGGTGCCGCCAGGCAACTATCAATCCAACCCCTCGTCTACGCAGCAATTTCATCATACCCCGGTCAACTACATGATGCCGTTTCCTCCGGAACCCACGCCAGCCAAGTTCGTGACGCCCGTGATGCCACCGCCGGTCACTTCTTCCCAAGCTACACCATCGCCTGGATACCCAGCTGCGCTACCAGTTCGACCTCAAAAAGCGTGGCTTACTCCACCGGATGATTGGAAACCTGGTGATGGCATGTTCGACATCAACCACCTCTACAATTTCAGCCTGCCCATGACGGTTGCCAGCACTCCGCACAATCCTCTATGTGACATGTCTGGCATGGACATCCGGGATGTTCGCCTGGTTCAGGTCACACACGGGGGCATTACCAACTGGCTACTGCGACCATTTGCTCACGGGAGATTCGTGACGTGGGAAGGATTTCGTACCCGCACCGAGGCCCTGCTTTGGAGTACCTGTTCAAAACTGCTGCGACGATCGCAGCCGCTCAACCTGCTTACTTTGGAAAAGGACCTTGCCAATTCGCTGGGGCTCAACCTTGACGACTTCAATCAGCGCATCAAGGTTCACGACCACTTGGCCAATCTGGTGCTTCAGTTTCTTCACCAACATCACGCGACTCTTACGCCCTCTACCCAAGCAGAAGACATGCTCAAGAAGTTCAATGACCTACATCGTGCTCATGAGTTGCTCCAGGCTCAATATTCGGCATCACAACGAGCTTCGTCTTCCCCAACGTTACCATCTCAGAAAGAGGATGCAGAGTTGGTTACACCGCCTCCGGCCAACCACTCACAATCTTCGACGCCGACCAGCTCCCTGCCCACGGTCAGTGCGGCGGCCCTCGATGGCAAGTCGTTTGATGGTTCGGTTCAGCAACAACCACGGATCATCCAATCTCTTCACGGACTTTCCTCCCCGCCTTCCAAGCCGGCGGCGTCACAGCTGCTCACCATGCACAGCACGCCAGAAGACATCATCGAGCACTACGCATGGACCAGTGATCAACCACGCTTGTATCTCAAGCAATCACCCACTACCACTACAGTGGCGTCATTGATTAAGCGGGCCAATCACCCATCCCGTCTGAACGGCAACAAGTCCTTGGAATCTATGTCGACCCAGCTCTTTCAACGCATGCCAAAAGGAGATGCGCCTACGTTTGCAGCTATGGCCGCTCTGTGGGGACTCGAACCCGACCAAGCTCACGGACAAAGCGCTGTGTCACCTCATCGTGACTGCCCGCTTACTCATCGGTTGAACAGTTTCCATTGCCTGCATATTAGCCCGGAGTGGCAGTTGCGTCGTAGATGACGAACGGTTCAAAACTTGTCCGTACTCTTCTTGCACATTGCTTGTTTGGTGTGGTGCTTGTCTCTACTTGCCTTGTGAGTTGCTTTGTGCTCATTGTCTCTTGAATGCATGTCGCCGCCACCTTGTAGCCTTCCTTGGTTGCATATCCATCATGTGGACTGAACTTCGCCACAGTGGAATCTTTGACGACGTTGCGCAATGGCATTCCTTGGCTACTTTTCTGAATTCGCTGACGGTGTTCTCCACGTGCTGGCAGCACTGCTTTCCTGGACTTCCACCACCGTCGATCCCAATGGATGAGTATGAGTCCATTCAGCAGTTGCCTCAGTTAGACTTCATCATTGAAGTGCTCACGGTGGTTCGGATTGCACTTCAGATTCCGATACATTCCATGTCGCGTTCATCTCATACTGTGGCCAACAGGTATAAGCTTCACAAATGTCGGAACACTGCCTATCTGTTGATTTGTTTTTTGCAGCGTCTCATTTCTCAAAACCATGGGTACATTCCGCCGTTCTTCGAGGTTCTTCATTTTTACAAGACGTCACTGCTGTGTGACATCATGCACTCTACTTTTGCGGATATGCGACACCTTCGATCACTGCCGACACGCTTCCCGGACCTCTTTGACTTCATTCAGGATCCAGGTCACCATCAGCAACCATGCGTCTACCTCAGACTTTCACCATGGCATAGTCCCTACTATGTTGGAGCAACAGATCAGGATGTTCTTCGCCGTGAACATTCACGCAGCCGCAAATTTCTACAACTACTACGGGGACATCATGCCTTCTTTGAGCCTGCACTTCACTACTGGAAGCGATCCAATATCTACTGGCTTTTTGCCATTCCGGTTGAGATTAAACTCCCACTTTCTTCGATTTGGGTCCAGGAAAGCAAGTGGCAACACCTGCTACGTCCACATCTAAACGCTCCCTGGGTGCACAGACTTCTTCAGAAAATTGGTTCCCGTGAACATGTGGTTGACTTTCGGCGTCATTCGTTGTCATCGCCTACCTCACTCTCGCTACACAAGCGCTTTCGGCGACGACTACATCCTGATCTCCATCGGCAATTACGACCCGAGATGTTGGATGACATTCAAAGAAACTCCTAATCGACAACTTCAGTTACCGAGCACCATGACTCAACTGCTTCTCCCGCCTCTACACGTTCAGAATTGGAAGGCTCAGCTTGGAACATGGTTGCAACGTTGGGTAGCATCACATCGTGATCTGTTTCCTTCCTTATTTCTTCCAAAGATCCGTGTTGTGGAAACTCGCAGTGCTACCTTGGGAGACAGGATCTACAACTACCGCTCATGGCAACGCAGGTGGACTCCTGACACGTCTTTTCCGTGCCGCTGTTCGGACATGGATGCCTGCAACCTGTATCGTGCGCATGATCATGCCGTCATTGCTCGCGCATCAATGCGGACATTGACCTTGACATCATGACTGCATCCATGAAAGACCAGTATTTTGGTGATGTTGACATGCTTCAACAGCGTTTTACCGTGCAGCTTCGTAGATTGGCTCGTCGCTGGCATATACATGGAACCAGTTTCCCTACTGATTTTCAATCTGTTCTGACGGAGTTGATCGATGCACATCGCTCTAACATTCAAGACGACGCACATTGGACTTCCGCGTCACTGCAACGCACTATTGTTTCCCTGTCCTCGTGGGTTGTAATACCAGCGGATCATTTCCCTTCGCGTGCTCATGTGATTTGTCCTTCGTTATTTGCCACACTGATGCACAAGACCTTTTGCACAGGAGATGTCTTTTCGCTGTGCCGTGAGTCTGCAGCATCTTTTCGCTCTGAAGTTGTCACTACGATACCTGCTCTCCTACAACAGCGTTATGCTTGGGGACTTCGACTACAGGCACCGTTGCCCACGGCTCGCATCCTTCCCAAACCGACCAAGGACTGGCTAAAAGCGAGACCGATTATTTCTTTCTTTCGCACGTGGGCAGCACCCCTCCTCACGGTCTTCGGCGCCCTCATCTTTGAACTCACCAAAGTCGCCTTTCCAGACGTACCAGGTCAGCTTTCGGTTCAGGAGCTAGTCCAGCAGCTTTGGGATGCGCTATCACATGAAGAGCCCACCGAATACATCCACCTGGTATCTCAGGACCTTTCCGGTTTCTTTACATCCATACCCACGGAGCGTTTCCATCAAGCACTACAAGTCCTGCTGCATCGATATGACCAAGTAGTTGGTCTCCGCAGATCTTCACATTGGTCGGTGTACGAGGTGAAGTCGGATCATCGACGTCGCATGTTCAAAGGGAAGTGGCGCCGTCAAACCAAGGTCCCTCGAACCTTTCGTGAACAAGACCTTCGATGCCTCCTTGACTTTGTCATTGATAACAGTCATTTTGAGATTAATGGCTATTTGTTCCGGCAGGAACGTGGTGTTGCTATGGGATCACCTGCGGCGCCCCCACTCTGCAATCTGGTTGCTACAGTCGAGGACTTCTTCTGGCATCAAACCATGTGCTCTCTTCGATTTCGTATGTCCGACTTCGGGGTGATCTGGCACGAGCGCTATGTCGACAATCGCTTCATCCTGCTGCGTGATTCGGCCCCGTCCACAACGGTACTCATGAATTTTCTCTCCCTGGAATTTTATCGTCCCCCTGTGATGCTGGAGACCCAGAATGATACCAAAGTGCTGGGCTACATGTGTGATTCTTCGTCCAG